CTGGGTTTTACCCCCTTCTCCTGCTCTTCCGGCCTGCTACTCTGTGCTACACCCGTGCTTACCTTGCTCCTGGAGACCCGGTCCCTCTCGGGAGGGTAACAAGGGAAAATGTTCAGTGAAATCAGTGAGTAAGCACCAGCCCGCCCGTGCTTACCTTGCTCCCGGAAACCCGGTCCCTCTCGGGAGGGTAACAGGGAAAATGTTCAGCGCAGATCAGTGAGTAAGCACCAGCCCGCCCGTGCTTACCTTGCTCCTGGAGACCCGGTCCCTCTCGGGAGGGTAACAAGGGAAAATGTTCAGTGCAGATCAGTGAGTAAGCACCAGCCCGCCCGTGCTTACCTTGCTGCCGGAGACCTGGTTCCTCTCAGGAGGGTAACAAGGGAAAGTGTTCAGTTCAGATCAGTGAGTAAGCACCAGCCCGCCCGTGCTTACCTTACTCCCGGAGGCCCGGTCCCTTGCTCCCGGAGACCCGGTCCCCCTTGGGAGGGTAACCAGGGAAAGTGTTCAGTGCAGATCAGTGAGTAAGCACCATCCCGCCCGTGCTTACCTTGCTCCCGGAGACCCAGTCCCTCTTGGGAGGGTAACAAGGGAGCCGTCTGAGCACTAGAAAAATTCTTACTGTGCATGAAATGATACGATTGTTTATCCATGAGATAAGAGCAGGATATTAAGAAAGAAGGATATTCAGAGAACCACAAAGAACTCTGAAATTAAAATCTGATATTTGAAATTAAAATTTAACCATAAAAGTTGGAAGATAAAGGTTCAGAAATCTCCTAGATGCAACATGTCAGTAAGATGTGAATTATAAAAGACAAGATAAATGCCTTAAAGGATCAATTCAGGAGCCCAATATTTTATTAATCCAATCCAGTTTCACTGCCATTGAGTCGATTCAACCCATAACGACCCCTCCTTGGGTTTCTGGAAGTAGATTGCCTAATCTTCCTTCCAAGGAGTGGTTGGTGGGTTTGAACCACCAGTCTTCTGGTTAGCAGTCAAATGCCTTAGGCACTGTACCACCAGAGCTCCCTCTACAAACAGAGAGGACAGAGAACACAGAAGAAAGAAAATAGCTAACATTAAGAACCTTGTTGTGACTAAGGATAAACCAAATCAAACCCAAGTCCATCAAGTTGATCTTGACTCTTAGCCACCCCTATTGGGTTTCTAAGGCTGTAAATCTGTATGGAAGTAGATTGCCTCATCTTCCTCTATGTGGAGCAGCTATTGGGTTTGAATCACTGACTTTCTGGTTAGCAGCCAAATGCCTTATCCACTATGTTGCCAGAGCTCCTTATGACTAAAGATATGTAGCTCTAAATTGAAACCACCCATCAAATGATCAGGAGCTCTGGTAGCATAGTGCCTAAAGCACTTGACTGCTAACCAGAAGGCTGGCAGTTCAAATCTACCAGCCACTTTTTGTAAGGAGGATGGAACAATTTACTTCTGTAGTGATACTGCCTCAGAAACCCAAGGAGGGGTCGCTATGAGTCAGGTCCGACTCGATGGCATATAAAAACAACAACAACAACATCAAGTGATCAGCAGAGTGAATAGTAAAAATACTTACAGAGGGGAAACCATAAGCTTACATGCAAAGAAACAAGGATTAAAATTGTATAGGTTTTAAAATATCAACACTGGGTGATAGGAAGGAGTGGAATATGCCTTTAAAATTCTGAGGATCAACAAATTTCATCTTAGAATTTTATAAACAGTGTAAATATTAATCAAGTGCATAGGTAGAATAAATACATTTTAAAGCATGTCCAGACTCTATGTCCTATTAAAACCAAAAAACCAAACTCACTGCTGTCGATTCAATCCCAACTCATAGCAACCTCTCCTTGGGTTTCTGAGGCAATATCTCTACGGAAATAGATTGCCCATTCTTCCTTCCGAGAAGTGGCTGGTGGGTTTCAGCTGCCAGCCTTCTGGTTAGCAGTCAGATGCCTTAGGCACTACGCCACCAGAGCTCCCATTAGTACCATGAAATCATTTGAAGTGTGCAGGAAATAAAGGAATAAACCAAAAGAGAAGAAGGTATGGAATCCAAAAAGCATCATCTCAACCCCAAGAAGAGAAGTCTTAGGATGGTAGCTTTTCAGACTAAATGCCAAATGTGGATTACAGTAGGATGCTGCAGCACTCCAGCAATGTGGCTGAGAATGCTAAAAACTTATACTACAGAGGCCTGAACCATTGCCCCAGAGAAGCCAAGTCATCATTGCCCAGTCTAATAAACACTGTGCAACAAAACTGGGAGAAGATGTCACCTTTTGAAAAAGGAATCTACATTATTCAGCATACCTGAAAATGCTAAGCTAATAGTGAATGCAGGTATCAGGCTGAAAACTTGTGGCACCTGATAGTTTGTTGTTCATCTTGTGTGCCATCAAGTTGATTCTCACTCACAGTGATCCAGAGTAGAACTGCTCCTTAAGTTTTCGTAGACTGTAATCATTATGGGAGCAGATCACCAAATCATTTCTCCCATGGAATGGCTTGTGGGTTTGAACCACCAGCCTTTCAGCTAGTAGTTGAGTGCTTGACTGTTGGCACCACGAAGGGACTCCCCCAAAAAATGTCATTTTTAATGTAATACTTATTTTATGTAAACAAAAATATAATCTATAAATACATCATAACTTGTATAAATTGTTATATACCAAATTGCTTAACAAAAATGTAAAAGCAAGGCTTATTAGCAATAAAAAAATATGAATAGAAAAATAATTAAAATGGGCACTCCAACACAGATAAATTAAATTAAATTAAATAACAAACAATCAAACAAACTTGCTGCCATCAAGTCGTTTCCAACTCATAGTAACCCCTGTTTGGGTTTCTGAGGCTATAAATCTTTGCAGAAGTAGATCGCCCCATCGTTTTTTCTTCCATGGAGCGGCTGGTGGGTTTGAACCACTGACCTTCCAGTTAGCAGTCAGGTGCCTTGTCACTACACCACCAGAGCTCCTTAAATTAAATAAAGATATAGAGATAGAGAAAATGAACAGTGTACTTACAGACAACATAACTTATTGGTTACTAGATTGGGCTCAAGTCTAGATTAAAATTCTAGGTCTGTCCTTACTGGCAGTGTGGTTTCTGAGCCTTAGCTTCTACAGAAAGAAGTACAGAACTCTTCCAACACCAGCCTCTGGTAGAACAAAGTTGAAATTACTGATGGTGTTTTCCAGGTGTAGCAGGGAGGAATATAAAGCTGGAAGGAGCCTGAAGGCCATAGATATTTAGGAGGGGTGGAGGAAAGGTACAATGGATGAAAGAAGGTAAAGTAAGTTGTTTTGAAACAAAAAAGGAAAGCACTGGATTGGGGAAAAGTTTTAAAAAGCATGAGTTCCTCAAGTTCACATCTGTTGGATTCAATTTTGTGGGTTTTGTTTCTCATCTGATTGTCTAGATTTAGTATTTGATATTGTTTATTTCTAGAGTAAAAAGCCCATTATGATTATGGAATTCTGGGTTGGATGGTTCGACACATGGGGAAATCAACACTTGGTTAGAGATGCGATGGGTAAGTGCTTTCCATTAGAAGTGGCCCTAAGTGGAGTGGTTCTAATCCAGTGTCCCCAGATACATTACATTGCCCTAGAAGGGAGTAATGAAAGCACACTAATTATTCATACAATTGCAAAAACAATAATGAAAATTAGATATTTAGATGACATAAGGGTTCTTAGGCTATTATTTAGTAGATTTAGTTTGGTAGCCAAATTGTATCAGTATGGTGGGAAAAATACTTTTTAGAAATGGCCTTTGGTTTTGACAAGACTTGGTCTTATAGCATAAAACCCACTGCCATTGAGTTGGTTCTGACTCATTGCAATCCTATAGGACAGAGTAGAACTGCCTTATAGGGTTTCCAAGGCTGTAAATCTTTATGGAAGCAATCTGCCTCATCTTTCTCCTGTGGAGCAGCTAATGGGTTTGAACCATCTAACTTCTGGTTACCAGCCAAATGCTCTAAGTACTGTGCCACCAGAGCTCCTTTCTTCTACCATAGTTCTGGCCAATGCTACCCATTTTGGAGTTGGGATTTTAGTGGAGATTGAATAACAATTAAGTTGACTGTGGTGTGGGGCTGGGAGTGATGAGTTCTCCAGAGACTTCTCCCTCTTCTTAATTTATGATTTTCTCTGTATTCTCATCTTCTCTCTCCACAGAGGTTGAACATACTGTGCTTGAATTTATCAAAGCTGAGATCTCCTTCAATGCATACATGTTCCATGGTGGAACCAACTTTGGTTTCATGAATGGGGCCACATATATGGGGAAGCACAGAGGTGTTGTCACAAGTTATGGCAAGTGTTCTCTTGTGTTGTCACTTCCCCAGCACAGGTTGCACTGGAGCTTTAAAGAGGAGTTGCTAAAAGCATATTCAGACCTCACTGAGTTCTTGACCCAATATGCTGGATTTAAGGGTTTTCATATCTATTTTCCTTTCTTCTGTGATCTTAATAATGCTCCATTTGACTGTCATTTGTAGTAGATGGGATAGCCTGAGATTTACAGCTCTGTGTTTCTCATCCTTGCCTTCAGGCAGTCACTCTCTACATTTTAGTAGAGATGGATATGAATGGTGATTGCTATTAAAGCATGGTAAGACACAGCTGGGCAATCCAGACTAGGGAATGCTAAGAGTGTGGGTGAAAAGTGAGACAGAAGGGCAATCCCAGAGCACAGCAGCCTTGACCCCCCAGTGAAGATCCTACGAAGGATTCCTAGGCTTGGATTGCAGCCTGTGTCCCAGCCTGGCATGGAAAATTCCCAGGAGGCAGGGAAGGGGTGTCTTTCTTCTGGCTCTCTTTCTGTCTTGAAGTTGTTGTGGCTATGTCCCCACTACCTGTCATGGATTCCTTCCCCCATGACTGCTGAAGCAGCGACTGTTGTGAAGGACTGTGTGGCCAGTGATGGGTCCCTTGTGTCTTGCAGACTATGATGCTATTTTGACAGAAGCAGGAGATTACACAGAAAAATATTTAAAGCTTCGAAAACTCTTTGGATCCATCTTAGGTACTCAGTAGCCATTTAAATTTGAGGGATGCTCCTTGTCATGAAATGTCTGTATTCTAAGAAAGGGTAAGGAATGGAAAAGATTTACTGGGAACAGCAGTTTAATGAAGTGCTTCAGAGCAAGGCCAACATTAACTTAAAATCCTGGTATTCTTGTTTAAAAGCTGTGTGATTTTGCATAAGTATTTAAGCCCTTTAAGCCTCAGTTTCTTCACTGAAGCATGAGATAATAGTCCGATCTCATATGATAATTATAAAGATTTAAGTTACTTTTTTGTAAAACTTTTATTACAATTTATGACACAATAAGCTCATATATTGTGTGTGTGTGTATATATATATATATAACAAACTCACTGCCATTGAGTTGATTCCAACCCATAGCTACCTCCATTGGGTTTCTGAGGCTGTAAGTCTTTACAGAATTAGATTGCCCCATCTTCTGCAGAATGGCTGGTGGGATTGAACTGCTGACCTCATGATTAGCAGCCAAATGTCTTATCCACTATGCCACCAGAGCTCCTTCGGTCATGGTATAGATAGCAAAAATGGTTCTGCTGAATTTTATTTACTTAAAATTAATTATACATCTAACATATGCTAAAAACTGGTTAACATTGGTGTTGCCAAAGGTATGAGGCAGAGTTCTTTCTCCCTAAGTTAGACCAATATAACCTCTTAGAGGTCTCCATGTCTATCAATAAAAGCACCAACTTTGTCATGGCCTAGTTTTTGTTGCCTTGGAGAGCCATGCCTGTGTGTTAGATTAAGACCCTTTTTTCTTGTTGGCTCTGTGATATAAGAATTAATGATAAGAACAGGGAGGCTAAAAGAAGATAGTGGTTATTTCAGATTCCCTGGCCCCTTTTCATTGCAGCAACCCCCCTGCCTCCCTTACCTGACCTTGTTCCCAAGGCTGTGTATCCTCCTGTGAGACCTTCACTCTATTTGCCACTGTGGGATGTCCTGGAGTATTTGAATGAGGTGAGTGCTGCGTGGGCACTGGGATAGGAATACCTATTGGACAGAGTGGGAGAAGGCCTTGGGTCACAGAGTAGAACTTTGCTCAAGTAGCTGTTTACTGGGGAGTATGAAAACTAATCCTCTGTGTTTTATCCAAATTTAGAACTGTGGGACAAGAAGCACAGACCCCTTCAGAGTGGACTGTGAAGGGGTTTGACCTTGAAGAATAAGTAGGGGTAGCAAGATATTAGAGAATCCCATTTCCTAGCTCAGATGAACTGAAGCTCCCAGTTCTGGTCTGTGGGACTGTGGTCTATGGTATTTTCCTATGGTATGGTATTTTCCACTAGTAACATATGCTTTATACATTTGTCTTGTAAACTGCACAACCCCCTCATGTTAGTTTCTGATGTGTGCTATACACCTTATATATATGTGCTTGTTATTTACATGGGTACATTATATGTGAAAAATAGGATATATGGGAAAATCTACCAAACTAGGAACCCGTGAAATTGGGTTTCTGGTTTTGCCTCACAATCAACTGTGCTAGATCACTGAACTTTTGTGAGCCCCTGCTTCCTCTTTAAAATTAGACCAGAAGGCTGGTAGTACAAACCCACCAGCCACTCCTCAGAAGGAAGGTTGGGCAATCTATTTCAGTAGTGATACCACCTCAGAAACCCAAGGAGGAATCACTATGAGTTGAAATCTTCTCGATGGCAGTGAGCTTTTTTAGTTTGATATATTTTGAAGACAAGGTAAAAGGTATTTGAAAAATATAACACTTTGATTCATATTGGTTCTACCTCTGTTATCACTGTTTATGAAAACATATTAACTGATATTATAACTAAATAGATGTTTGGTTAGTGAGTAACTATTATCTAGAATTCAGGTTTCTTGGAACACAATTTATTTACTCTTTTAATCATCTGTTGTGATTAAAGCAATTTTTCTCCTTTCACTATCTCCTCATCATTACTTAGTTTTCTAGTTAGTTGAGAATAAAGTACAAGAGTATTACCACATACTATCTGTTTCAGTATTTCCCATCCAAAAACCCTTGGAGATCACTAGGTGGCACAAAAAGTAACAAGGGTATTACAAAGACAGTTCCTGATTTTTTATTACCCTGGCTCCTGTTCCTTCCATATCTCCATCACAGCCGGTGAAATCTAATATACCAATCAACATGGAGAATCTTCCCATAAATGATGGAAATGGCCAGTCCTATGGATTTGTACTCTATGAGACTTCCATATGCTCTGGAGGTCGTCTGTATATTCATGCTCAAGATATGGCACAGGTAGGGCTCATCAGGCTGTTCATGGTGGTAAGCAAAACTTTTAGCTTAACTCTGCTATTGAAGAGGGTAGTCACTAGTAAACTTTATTATTTGATAGTATTTTTAAGTACCAACTATGTGTTGGACAAAGAGCCCTGGTGGCACAGTGGTTAAATGCTTGACCAATAACTGGAAAGTTTGTGGTTCAGACCCATCCAGTGATTCCTTGGGAGAAAGACCTAGCAATCTGCTTCCATAAAGATTAAACCTAGGAAACCCTATGAGGCAGTTCTACTCTGCCATATGGGGTTGCTATGAGTCAGAATCAATTTGACAGCACCTGACAACAACAACATGTGCATTGGGAATCCACACTTAAATCAAATAGCATTGTTTTTCAAGGAGTGGCTGTTGGATTTGAACCACCAGCCTTCTGATTAGCAGTCAAATGCCTTGGGCATTATGCCACCAGGGCTCCCCCTTATCTTGGGATAAGATATATATGTGTGTGTATATGTATGTGTGTGTGTGTGTGTGTGTGTGTATATATATATATACACACACACACACACATATATATATATATGTATATATGTGTATATATATATATATATCTCTTAGGAAAATGGCTCACACAGTTATAGAAGCTGGCAAATCCCAAGTTCCTGGATCAAATGTCAAGCTGAAGGCTTTTCCTGACTCACACAACTTCAGGGGCTGATGAACCCAAGATTGGCAGGCAGTATAACTGGCTGCTGACTTCGGTGGATGATGAATCTGAGATCAGCAGGCGAAGCATGAATTGTTGGCTCATAGGACATTTGTAGGCAGCACAACAGGATCCAGACCCAACAGAAAGTTCCTAAATTTTCCCATGTGGTCCATGCATATATAGAAGGCCTTACCCCTAAGAAAACTGTCTTTCCACTGATTGGCTACTCAAAGCATATACATCAGATCTCATCATAGGAATGACCACACCACAACTGCTTAAACCACTCAGAATCATGGTTCAGCCAAGTTGGCACACAAACTTAACTATCACAGTCTACCCCTTGTCAACTTGGCAATTTTGCATATCTCCTTAAGCACATATAATCTCTAAATAAGGAAAATTTTAAAGTCATACGTGCACCTAACATGACACAGCTAACACATGTACAACTGAAAACGCATTAGCCTTTATAAATTAAAATTTATAAATTATAACTGAAGAAAACAAAAACATTTGATGCATACATACAATGAAGAAATATAACAATTAGTCCTCATTTCTGCAACTGGTCATCTGGATGTGCTTGGTATTTAGAACTTCTTTCACCACCCATTCTGTATTTCCCTTGCCCTCATTCTTGAAGGGTCTGGGCCATTAGTAGTCATATCAGAATTGGGTTGCTATAGTTTTCCATTGACTTTAATCACAGGGCATGATAGTACTGAGAAATGTCCTAAAGAATCTCCTGTATTCTAGACATATTCTTCTTTACTTCCTTTATGTAATATCAATCCAATTTCTCCTTGGTAGTAAGGATCTATCACACCAGACAATACAGTATCTCCCTTCTATTCCTGCTGATCCAGAGGCAAGATGAGGCCAAAATGGCTGGGTGGCATTCTTAATTTCCAGTTTAATGCAATTAGCGTTGTGTCTCTAGGTAGGAGTGTTCCTCCCTTTGGGACTAAGACTTCCAGACCTCCAGAGCATATGCTCGCAGGGACAGGAAACAAATTTTTTTTTTTTGAGTGGGTTACTAGGGGTGATAGTGAATGCTACCATTCTCTTTTCTACCCCTTGGTATGTTTTGGTTCTCTAGTGCCTCTAGTGCCACTCTGACAAGAATACCATGGATGGGTGGCTTTAACAAACAGGGATTTATTCTCTTACTGTTTAAGAAGCTAGAAATCCAAGTTCAACATACCAGCTCTACGGGCTGGTTGAAAGCCCCTCAACCTTGGGCTTCAGCTCCACTTGTTGCTTCTAGCCCACTGAAGCTGGAAGCATCTCTTAGCTCAGGCAGCTGCTGGCTGCTGAGGCTGACAAACCGAAGGTCAACAAGTAAAATGTAACAGTCCCAAGATTATCAAGCGTATGGCAGGCCACTAATTCAAGGCCATTTATAGTCCCAAAATCAGCAGTGGTGGGCCATTGAACTGAAGACTCAGCTACATAAAGGGTCCAAGCATGCTAAAAAACTCAATGACCTTTCTCAAAGCTGACTTCTTATATACTAGAAACAGACTACATCCCTAAGGCAGCTACTCAGCTGCTCCAGTAGATTCCACCATGGAGTTGATTAACAGTTTCATCATGGGGAATAACTACTTCCAGCTGGCCAGCCACTCAAAACCAGCCAAGTTGACACACAATGTAACAGCCCCAATTCCATCCCTTGTCAATTTGGCATCTGTCCACATCTCCTTGACTGGGTGGCTCCAGTCTCCCAGTTCATCTGAGTGTCAACCCTTGGCCTGGCAGGCCCTGTTCCTTTGCCTCTTTGGCATGACCACCCTGCCCTCGCACTTTTGGGCAGTGGATATAGCCCCATCCCACTGACCCTCATGAATGGCAACCTACACTCTAGAACCAAGTTCGTGAAGGTCTGACCCTTTGGAAACTACAAGGCTGTGGTGGTTCCACTCCCAGAGTCCATCATCCTACCCTTTGAGGCTGAAGCAGCTCTGCTTCCCGTTTTCTTGGTCTCTCAGCTTCTGCCAATTAATTCCTGAAGGCAATACACCCTGCTAGGAATCTTCCCACCCAAAATGCGCTCATCTTTCTTGCTCCGTGGGCTGGTAAGTCTGTCATTGTCTCATGCCACTTGCTTGGCTCTTCTTCTGCCCTCTCTCTATCAAGGTCTCTCTGCTGGGGTCTCTTTGCTGGGGTCTTAGTGCAGGGATCTCAGGTCAAGGACACACTCCACTCTTGTTTCCACATTTTAGGAATCTGTCAGAGCAGCACGCTACTCTCTTGGTATCAAATTCTGTTTTGATCCTCTAGTGCTGCTATAACAGACATACCACAAATGTATATATAGAAATTTATCTTAGGAAAATGGCTCACACAGTTATAGAGGCTGGCAAGTCCTAAGTTTCTGGATCAAATGTCAAGCTGGAGGCTTTTCCTGACTCATGCAGCTGCATGGGCTGATAAGCCAGGCAACATAACAGGCTTCTGACTTCGGTGATGACAAATCCAAGATCAGCAGGCAAAAGGGCGGACTGTTGGCTCACAGGACACTTGTGGGCAGCATGACAGGATCCAGATGCAACAGAAAGTTCTGGATTTTCCCAGGATGTCCATATGTGTGTATGTGTGTGTGTGTGTGTGTGTATGTATCTATATCTATATATGTATATGTATATGTATATATATATATAGAGAGAGAGAGAGAGAGAAAGGAAGCAGGCCACACCCGTAAGGAAACTCCCTTTCAACTGATTGGCTGCTCAAAGCATATACATCAGAGCTTATCATGGGAATGAGCACACCACAACTGCTTATACCACTCAGAATCATGGTCCAGCCCAGTTGACACACAACCTTAACTATTACATGACCTTATATCAAATATAATAAAATGCAATCACCTTCAGTAATCTAATCTAATGTTACATAATCAATCAGTTGAGGTGTCTGATGGATCCTACATCTAATAACTTCTGAGTTATATAAAGAGCAGCATAGACACAGACACAGACACAAACACAGATGTAGATAGGGCATGGAGTAGAGACTGACACCATGTAAGGATTGCCTGGAAGCCAAGGAGCCAAATAACACCTGGGACTACCTGCAAGGAAAGAATAAACAAAATTGAGACCCTGATTTGGGCTTCTAGCCTCCAGAACTGTGAGAAAAATATATGTATATTCTTTACAGCCACCCATTTCTGGTACTTCTGTTAAAGCTCACTTATAAATTAAGACTAAATTTAAATAAAGTCTAATGGAGATTCTGTGTCAATATTGGTGATATGATCTTGGCAAGTTTTATCATGGGAAGGAATAGGTGACTATGGGGGCGCTTAGATAAGCTCCTCATCCAGACATGAGAGGTCAGGGCCAGTTGCTGGAGTACATGCCGTCTACACTGACTTTTAATGATCAGCCAGAGTTAGTGAGGTGAACAAAGAAAAGGAAGAATATTCCCAGCAGAGTGAATACCGTGCTTGAACACCTAGGTGAAGAAGAGAGCATGACTGGCTCTTGGCCTGAAAGAAGTTGATGATGATCGGTTCTTGGAGTGCAAGAGGGAAGATTAATACTATCTGAAGTTATACAGCTACAGGCATCTCTGAACTTTTGTGACTGGTGGCTGGTAAATGGACCCCTGCTAATGCAGTTGCAGGCAAACCTACCATCAGTGATCACATTTGCCAATAGAAATTGCAGAAGCTGTAAAATGACACATGTGCCTCACTTTGTGATTGAAATTTCATACATGTGTAACTCATTGGCCTAAGTGAAATCATGTTTGAAATCTTAGATGTGGAGTCCAAGTGGAGTTTTCATTTCTTCAGCCTCCACAGTGCATAGAGTCTAAGCAGGTGGATGGAATGGGGGCTGAGTGTTAACCCAATGTATTCATATCACAAGGTGCAGGGGAAGTTGTCATTGCCATATACCCTTCCCTATCTGGGGTGATTCTTTGTTTTTTCTTTTGTTCCTTTCTCTTTGGCACTGGACTGACATACTGAACTAAGACGCTCATCTCAGTTCCTTACCTGGACAGAGTCCAATGGGCATTGGCCAGGGTGTCCATCACTGTACTTACTTTATGATATTGCATTATTGTAACTTCCCATCAGCTTTTAGCCATCTGGGAGCACCAGGGTCTACCACTTTTTTCATAATGACCACCTTTTGCCTAAGCCAGTGTCTGTCTTCTCCTTTCTTTAGGTGGGCCTTCCAGTCTTACTATATCTCTTCTTTTGCAGGTATTCTTGAATGAGACAGTCATAGGAATCCTGAATGATGGTATTCAGAACTTGGACATTCCCAAATTCAGGGTATGTATCAAGGGTCTGAAGGTGCCCTGGTGGTGCAACAGTTAAGCACTCAGCTGTTAACTGAAAGGTTGGTGGTTTGAACTCACCAGTGTCTCCAAGGGAGAAAAGACCTGGTGATTTAAAGATTATTCTCTTAAAGATTGCAGCCTCATCAGCCCTTCAGGGCTTTTCTACTCTATTCTATAGGATCTGTCCTATAGGATTGCTGTGAGTTGGAATTGACTCAACAGCTCACAATAACAACAGCAACATTGCAAACATGTCATAGTCCTGAGATAGACTACCTTCTTACTTACCACAACTTTTCTTTATTGCTTCTCATTTAGGGTCCCATCAGGAAGTGTGTAAAGCTATAAATATAACTACATCCCTTAGGCCTGGATACATCAGGAACTGCAGCCTATAAGCTTCAGTATGAGAATTTCGCCCTTGGATTTTCCTTTGCTCCTATAGCCCTGAGTCACTCATCAGCTCTAGTTTGAGTTTCAGATAAATGACACAACTGAGTCTCTCTTTCCAAATAAGATAGTGTAGGGGAAGGGGGAAGATTGAGTATGGAATAGTAATACCAAAAGCTCCTTATAAGAGCTAAGGGCTGCAGGATTCTGAAGCCTTTATTACAGAAAAGAATGGACTCTACAGGAAAAGTCCCACAGTCTCCATGAGCTGTCCTGTCCCAAATAGGGATGCCAACTCCTGAGGATCCTGGTGGAGAATCAAGGAAGAGTCAATTATTCATGGAAAATTCAAGAGCAACGGAAAGGTAGGCTCTGGGCCTAAAAAGAGGCTCTAGCTTCTCTTCAATAATTGTTTGGCCCCTGGCACTTAGGCTTTGCTGGATTTGGAATAAGGGTCCCCAAAGCAGTGCCCTAGAGCTAAAGGTGCAAACTCCTTTCCTGCCCTTGTCCTGCAGGGACGAAGGTGGAACCGTTGTGTGGGGTGCTACACTCTGAATTAAGCTCCTTTCCTAAATTTCTTTACCTATTAGTTTTTCTAGTATTAATTCATAGTAAAAAATGTATATTTCCATTTACTTAAAGGGAATTTTTAGGTACATTTTGGGGTGAGAAAGAATAAAAGGTGCTTAAATTCATAAATGTTAAATATTAAAAATTAGTAATATTTTCCTCCATATACTTTTTCTTCCTTTCCAGGGCCTGGTTCTTAGACCCCTTAGGCTGTCCTCTTGCTTCTCATAATACCACTGAGGTTTTCCCTTATGTGCACCTGCCCTCTCTCCTCTGCCGTCTGTAGTGCTCTCACCTCTTTGTGAAGAGAACCTCTTCTTAGACTTGATGATGCTTATCCTGGAAAAGTGCCTAATCACCTCTTGGGAATTTCAGGGAAAATGCTGCTATTAAGCAGAAACTCTTTTGGTAGGATGCAGCATACAAGAAAACTTTAATCATACATAGCAGGTCAAGTGTTTGCCCTCTAGGGTGAGCCCTTGTCACAAAGCAGATACATGTTTCTATTTCCTTGCCCCCAACTCTGGAGAATATCCAGTCCCTTTTCATATTCTCTTTCCTACTTCCCACATGCAGGATTAACTGGACTTATTGGCATCAATAGCATTCCCCTGAAAGATTTCACTATCTATTCTCTGGAAATGAAAATGAACTTCTTTGAAAGGTATGTTCCTATGCTTGCCAAATAGACATTTAGAGTAATCAAACAACTCAGAGGTCATTGCTTTCCGACTCTTCACTTTGCAGATAAAGAACTCAACGTTCAGAGACTTGAAGTGATTTGCTCACGGTTATAGAGCACTTTGGAATCAGGACTAGAACCCTAGAACATGTCTCATAATTCTGATTTTAATTCTTCTAGTCTAATACATCCCACTGAAACCATGTTGTAGAACTGGAAACAGAATTTTAGTCTCTGAGAAGGAAATTTGTGGTTCAATACTGGGTCTCAAGCTGGGTAGGGGCATTCTTCCTCACTATTGGCTCTTCCCTTAGGCTCCGGTCTGCCACCTGGAGGCCTGCCCCAGAGAGCTATTTGGGCCCTGCTTTCTACCTTGGTACCCTGAAAGCTGGCCCTTCTCCCAAGGACACCTTTCTGAGAGTGCTGGTAAGTGAGCTACCTTCTTCTGTCCTGGTGTTCCAGCCACAGACTCTTAAAGAGCCCTGAAGCAAAGCCATAGTTCTTGATAGGGATTCTTTCTTCCCTTTCTTCCTTCATTTTTTCCTCTTCCTCACTCGCAGTGAACCTTCCAACATTTCTCAGTCTTTCTAATACAATCTCCATCTACAGATGTAGAGAGTAAAGAGAATAAAAGACAAAAGGGATATAGCAACACCCCCTTTCCAATACCTCTCTCCTTCTCAGAGGTAAACACTGCCCATAGATGGTACATTTTCATATATAACTTAGCCTAGGTGTTTCTAGAATGAAGAAATTAGCAAACAGTATCATTAATATCACACACAAGTAAAATTTTGTTAAAGATAATTCAAAAACAGTTGCAATAGTCCATAGACAGGGAACCACCTGAAATTCAAACTGGATTCAGTAGAGGATATGGAACAAGGGATATCACTGCTGATGTCAAGTGGATCTTGGCTGAAAGCAGAGAATACAAAAAGATGTCTACCTGTGTTTTATTGACTTTGCAAATGCATTAGACTCTGTGGACCATAACAAATTATGGATAACATTGTTAAGAATGGGAATTCTAGAACACTTAATTGTGCTTGTGAGGAACCTGTACATAGACCAAGGGGCAATTATTTAAACAGAGCAAGGAGCTACTTACTGCATGGTTTCAGTTAAGGACAGGTGGGTGTCAGGATTGTATCTTTTCACTATACTTATTCAGTCTGTATGCTGAACAAATAATCTGAGAAGCTGGACTATATGGAGAAGAATGTGGCATCAGGATTGGTGGAAGACTCATTAATAACCTGTGATATGCTGATGACACAAACTTGTTTGCTGGAAGCAAAGAAGACTTGAAGTACTTACTGATAAAGATCAAAGACTGCAGCCCTAAGTATGGATTACACACCTCAACATAAAGAAATAAAAAATTTTCATAACTGGACCAAGAACAACATCATATTAAATGGAGAAAATATTGAAATTGTCAAGGATTTAATTTCCCTTGGATCCACAATCAATGCCATGGAAGCAGCAATCAAGAAATCAAACAACATATTTGTGAAGAGGCAAGGAGGCCGCATTTTCTGACCTCTCACTACACAAGAGGAAGACAGAATCACCATCAGTGGCCCAAGGCCTGTTCTTATAAGGCCAGACATGCTGCCATTCTCCAACCCTCTTACTAACCTTGTCAGCAACCTTCCTCCTCTGGCACCCACCACTTCTCTGCTGGGTTTGATAATTTGCTGCAGTGGCCAACTGAACTCACAGACTATGAAGTTTATTAGGGAAGCAATAGGCTATAATTCAAGTTCAAGAACACATTCAGCCTCTCTCAGCCAACTGTCTCTCCCAGCCAGTCATCTCTCTCAGCTGGCAGTCTCTCTCAGTCTCTCTCAGTAGCACATCTCTCTCAGTGTGTCTCTCTCTCTCATCTGTCTCTCAGCAGTGTGTCTCTTTTGGCAAGCATGTCTCTCTTGGCAGTGTGTCTTTCTCAGCCAGTAGTCAGAGAGATTTTTTTCTCTGCCTCTAGGAGGACTCATTTTAAGCCTGGCAGAGTGGCAAAACTTACCAAACCCGATATCAGAATTTTAAACACCCGAGAGATAGCAAACTTCCCAGAAGATTGCTTTGTGCTGCTCCAATAGAAATTCCAAAACTGAACCAAACTCACAACCATGGAGTCACATCTGACCCGTGGTGACCCCTCCCTGTGTTTCCATGGCAATATCACTACAGAAAAGAATTGATGCCTTTGAATTGTAATGTTGATGAAGAATTAAATATACTGCAGACTACCAGAAAAACAAACAAATCTGTCTTCAAAGATGTACATCCAGAATGTTCCTTAGAAGTGAGAATGAAGAGTCTTCATGTATCAGGAGGGACCAGTCCCTGGGAAGGACATCATGCTTGGTAAAGTAGAAGGTCAGAGAAAAAGAAGAAGACTCTCAATGAGGTGGATTGACACAGTGGATGCAACCATGGGCTCAAATATAGTAAGAGTTGTGAGGATGGTACAGGACCAAATAATAATTCTTTCTATTGTACATAGTTTGCTATGAGTTGGAACTGACTCGATGGTACTTAACAACAGGTATTTCTAAATGCACACACAATTATTTTTTCCACTAATAGTGTTATACCATAAACCATTTTTTGCAATTTGCTTTTTGAGGAGGAGTATCTGCATCAGTGGATATGATCATGTGGTTTTTCCCTTTTGTTTTATGTGTGGTTACGTGGATTGTTTTTCTAATGTTGAAGCATCTTTGAATATCTAGTATGAATCCCATTTGGTCATGATGTATTATGTTTTTGATCTATTGTTGGATTCTGTTGGCTAGGATGTTGTTGAGATTGGTTGTGTCTAGGTTCATCAGGGATATTGGTCTATAATGCTCATTTTTAGTGGTGTCATGGCCTGGTTTCAGTATCAGGGTTATTATGTTTACTTCATAAAATGAGGTTTGGAGTATTCCATCCATTTTTTATGTTGTGGAATAATTTGAGCAGAATTGGTTTCAGCTCTATACATGAATGTTTGGTAGAATTTGCCAGTGGAGTTATCTGGCCCAGGACTTTTTGTTGTTGTTGTGGGAAGGTTTTTTTTTTTTTTTTTAATGGTCTGTTCATTTTCTTCTTTTGGGATGGGTCTGTTCAAATTTTCTACTTCAGATAGTGTTATTTTGGGTTGTTGTTGTTAGGTGCTGTCGAATCATTTCCGACTCATAGTGACCCCATGCACACCAGAACGAAACACTGCCTGATCCCACACCAGCTCCACGATCCCTGCTAAACCTGAGCCCATCATCCTAGTCACCGTGTCAATCCATCTCATTGAAGGCCTCCCCCTCTTTTGTCATCCCTCCACCCTACCAAGTATGACATCCTTCTCCAAGGAATGGTCCCTTCTGACAACATGACCAAAATAGGTGAGACGAAGTCTGGCCACTCTTGCTTCCAAGGAGCATTTTGGGTGCACTTCCTCCAGGACAGATCTTTTAGTTCTTTTAGCAGTCCGTGGTACTTTCAGCATTCTTTGCCAGCACCACAACTCAAAAGCATCAACTCTTCTTTGGTCTTCCTTATTCATGGTCCAGCTCTCACATGCATACAAGGTGATTGGCAATATCATGGCTTGTGTCAGGAGCAACTTAGTCCTCAAGGAGACATCCTTGTTCCTCAGCACTTGAAACAGTTCCTTTGCAGTTTACTTTCCCAATGCTATACGTTGTCTAATGTCCTGACTGCTGCTTCCATTTCCTCATCTTTGGCTTTGGTGGTTGGGGCATAAATTTGAATAATAATCATATTAATGGGTCTTCCTTGTAGGCATATGGATATTATCCTATCACGGACAGCATTATACTTCAGGACAGATCTTGAAACATCCTTTGTGATGATGAATGCCATGCCATTCTTCTTCAAGTTGTCATTCCCAGCATAGTAGATCACATGGTTGTCTGATTCACAGTGTCCAATTTCAGCTCACTAATGCCAAGGATATCAATCTTTATGCTTTCCATTTCGTTTTTGACAGCTTCCAATTTTCCTAGATTCATACTTCGTACATTCCATGTTCCGATGATTAATGGATGTCTGTAGCTGTATCTCTTCAATTTGAGTGGTACAACATCAGCAAATGGAGGTCTCGAAAGCTTTACCTTATCCATAGGAGTAAGGCTGGGTTTACTCAGATGATGCAGCTCTTTCTCAGTCCTACTTTGAGAGCCTTCTAACCTAACTGGACTATTCATAAAGTTGAATAAGCTGGGCTGATACCTGTGCACCATGTGCATCCTGCAGGGGTTAGAAACACCAGTGGCTCAGCCTCAAAACTCACATCAACATGTCACCACAGTAGGACAAACTGACAGACAAGTTTGTCTCCCTGTTGGAAACCTCTAGTACCACCCTTACCTGGGTCCCTGTGGCTGACTCCTCCTCTGTCCAGATTCCTAGGCCTTTTAATCCCCTTTCTCCCGCTTTCCTGCCCTGTTGCTTTGGGTGTGCGTGAGTTCCTCTCCCCACCTGGATCCCTGTGGCTGACTGCTTCTCTGCCAGGGTTCCTGGCTTTAATCCCCTTTTTCCTGCTGTCCCGCACTGCTGCTTTGGGCATGCCTGAGTTCCTCTCCCCACCTGGATCCCTACAGCTGATGCTCCTCTGTCCAGGTTCCTGGCTTCGTTATCCCATTTTTCCTGCTCTCCCGCCCTGCTGCTTTGGGTGTGCCTGAGTTCCTCTCCTCACCTGGATCCCTGTGGTTGACTGCTTCTCTGTCAGGGTTCCTAGCTTTTAATCCCCTTTTTCCTGCTCTCCTGCACTGCTGCTTTGGGCATGCCTGAGTTCTTCTCCTCACCTGGATCCCTGTGGCTGACTGCATTATCAATTTCACCTTGGTTTTCAAATTTGTTGGAGTACAGTTCTTCATAGTATTTTGTTATTATCCCTTTTATTTCAATTGATTCTGTTCTGACATCACTTATTTCATTTCTTTATGTTACTTGCATCTTCTCTTTCTTTTCCATTGTTAAATTTGCCAGTGGTTTGCCAGTTTTATTAATCAATTTTAGTCTTGTTGGTTCTTTTACTTTTCTATTTTTGATATCATTTATTTCTGCTCTAATCTTTGTTATTTCCTTTCTTCAGGTGACTAGACTTTGTGTGTGTGTGTGTTCTTTTTTATAATTGTTGGAAATGTTAGGTTAAGGTGTTGATTTTGGTTCTTTTTTGATGTGTGCATTTATTGCTATGAACTGTCCTCTGACAATTACTTTGGCTGTGTCCTAAAATTTATGGTATATTGTTTTCATTCAAGGAATTGTTTTATTTCATTTTCAATTTCTTTTCTTACCCAGTAGTTTTTGAGCATGATGTTATTCTGTTCCATGTATTGTTTTTTCCTTGATTTTCCTGTTGTTGATTTCTCACTTTGTAGAATTGTAATCTGAGAAGATGCTTTGCAAGA